AATCAAAGTAAAGGCCAAACCATTCGCCTCATTTTCCACGAATTCAAAAATTTCAATGGAGAGAGCGAAAGACCATACAAATTTCGACCCACTGGGTGGATTGTAGACAGATACATTAACTGAGGTCCGTCTAGTTAGGATAGTGACAGCAATGCAGCAGCAGCCTTCTGGAAGATCAAGGGCTATGGATTTGAAGCCGATAAGGTTGCTGACGCCAATTAAGAGCCCGAAACCGGAGTGCGGCAAGTTTTTTACAGATGGACAAAATGTCAAGCTTAAATTCGCTTAAATAGTTGGTAAATGATTTGCGTTTAATCGCATTTATAAGACTAAACTTGATTCGGCCGAGTCCAGTCAGTTGGTGCTCCTGTTGTGGTCATCAAATGAAAGATCGGTAACTTTTCAGACTTTCCATGCGGATTCGACTGAGTTGGATATCTCTACGCCAGATGCTCCGGATGGTTGATTGGATTTGAATTTATAATTACCAAGCGGTAACAAAGCCGAAAAAGCTGAGCAGAAACCCTACATGCCGAAAAAAAATTGAGAAAAATTCCAAACTTATAAAAAAATGGCAAGTCACTTTTCCCGTAAGAGCACACACACGCGCAAAAAAAAAATTTCGGACGTAATGACGCAATAAGATGTCGCAAAATTGATATTAATTAGGTCGAAATTTATTAAGCCGATAAAAAAGACGAAAAAAATGAAAAAAAAGTGAAATTTTTTGAAGCTCGATATTTTTGTGTTTTAAGATGCTGATGATGAGCGATAGCTCGAAAGTACTCCTAATTCAACATTGATCAACGTTGTTTTCTGAAATTATTACTAATCGAGCTGGTTAAAATACAACCAATTTGAAAAACAAATTGCAATTCGGCCGAATCGGTTAAAATACAACCAATTTGAAAAACAAATTGCAATTCGGCCGGAATTTTCAAATGCTTAAAACAACTGCAGTTGAAATTGTTTACAGCTAAAATAAACGATTCTCAGATGTGGCAACTACACATCGAACACAGGACTTTTGACGTCCAAACGTGCGAGACACAACAAATTTTGAATTCATGGTGAACCAACGTACTACCAGTTCAATGAGTTCAATGAGTCCTGTGGACAAAATAGTTGACGGAAAAAAGTCTTGTACTCAATTGCAATAAATAATCTGAAATGTTAAAAATATACTTTCGCAGCTTAAATGAAAGTTTCTCTACCTATTATTCGCCTGCTCGCCAGCTTTTTTGCACGAAATTAGACTTAAGGGTTGAAAATTTCTAACTTTTGTCTATCGACAATGAAAAAATTTTTCGAGTATTTTTAAGGTCAGTCGAATCACGACTGAAAAAAGTCTTTGAATGTGAAAAGAAAATATCTTTCGACTCATTTCAATGATTATTTGTCGTCCCTGATTTTTTTTAGAGCACAGTTTTAAAAATGAAAAAAATAAAGCCCGAAGCCAACGTTTCTGTTCATTTGAGTAGTCGATACAATACTTTATATTTCATTTCAAGATATGATGGTCATTTATGTTTTCCATCATTTCCATAAATGACCATCATTTTTTAAAATGTTAGTAATTGCATGGGATTCACTTATTTGATATACCTACTTATAGACGATCGAAAGTCACATTCAAGATTTAGTTTTATTATGATTAAAAGAAGATCTATCAGTGGTAACTTATAATAAAGCGCCATGTAAAACCTTCAAAATTTTATTTAGGAAATAAATAAATCTGAACTAGCGTTTAACGCACCTCCGGTGCTTCGAAATTTTTCGACAACTCAGTAAAAACCGCATATATTGGAAACAACATCTGCAAACTTTTAGTGAACTCTGACTGCACCCAATTACAAACTTTAAATTTTTTTTTAATTCCCATTTTAAAAGCGTCATCTCAAAAATTTAATGGGCCTCTGGAGAAATTCGGAGGCCATATTTGCAAGCACTGAGAGTCCCTGAGAGCACCCTACTATAGGGTAAGGAATCCAAAATTTTGTGAACTTTTTTAAACCTAAGTTTCTCGAAGAAAAAATTGAAAAAAAAAAAAAAACGTCTTATCTCGGAAACTAAAAAGATTTGAGCATTCATACTAAGAGGCAAGATTTGAGACGCCTGGGTGTACGCTGACAATAAGGTTGTATCTTCATCAAGCTGGTAGTTTCAAATTTTTTAAATTTCTTTGTAGATAAGTTCTTTGAAAAAATCAAAAAACGTCACATCTCGGAATTTAAAAGCATTTGAGCAGTCCCGTTTATCATTCGCATGTGGCAAGCACGATTTACAACTCTTTAGAGTACCCTGACAACACCGAACTTGAGCGTTCGGATTTGAAATTTCGAAAAAAAAATTAATTTCAACTTTCTGAAAATTTTGAAAAATCACAAAAAAACGTCACATCTCGAAAACTACAAAGAATTGGGCGGTCATATTTGGAGGCAAGATTCGCAATCCTTGAGACAACTCTGACAGGACCTAACTACAGGGTTGGGAATTTCAGATGCTTAAAGAATAATAGTAATTTTTAAAAACTTATAATAATTTAAGTTTTCTGAAAATTTTGAAAAAATCACAAAAAACATCATATCTCGAAAACTACAAGGATTTGAGCAGTCATATTTGGAGGCAAGATTCGCAATCTTTGAGATTACTCTGAGAGGACCCAACAACAGGGTTGGGAATTTCAGATTTTGCGAAAAAAACATTTATATGTTTTCTGAAAATTTTCTGAAAAAATCAGAAAAAACGTCATATCTCGAAAACTACAAGGATTTGAACAGTCATATTTGGAGGCAAGATCCGTAGAGTACTCTGACAGCGCCCAACTACATGTTCTGGAACTTCAAGTTTTTTCAATTTTTTTGTTATTTGAAATTTCAGATAATTTTTGAAAAAATCTCAAAAATCGTCTTATCTCGTTAGCTAAAATGAAAATGATTCGGGCATTCAAAATTGGAGGCCAAATTCGCCACCCCTAATTCGATATTGGGCTGCTTAATTAAAACTTGGTAAAATAACCACTAAAATCAAATTGGAAAATCGAAAAAAAAATTCTTAACCATTGCAATATACGATATAGCTTAAACATGCAAAAATAATACGCTGAAAAAGCTTACACATGGCGAGATAGTGAAGCCCGCATTTAAATAGATAATAGATTTGGAGCCTATATTGTATGGCTGTTTTATAAATTACTCATCTCTTTTTTTTTCTAACTTCACTGAAATTGACATATACTTGCATATCTGAAAACTACTTTAAACAAGGATAGCCGGCTGCTGTGCAAGTAGCACAAAGTTCTGTACACTAAAATAAACAAGGATAGCTAGTTACTGTGCAAGTAGTACAAATGTGTTGACCAGTCTTAAAAAATATATTTAAAAAAGTTCTTTCAAATTGATGTCGTTTTTTTTGCATGCTGTGGTAAGATTTGAATGAAAAAAAGAACTAAGGCATATTTGAGAGTCATAGGAAAAAAGGTTAATTGGAAAACAATTTTTGAAGAAAAAATAACTAGAAAAACGAACTTTTTTTTAATTTCAAGTTTTTGATTCGCTAAATTGTGCTAAAAAAAACTCCTAAAACTACCTTTATCTGAGTAAAACTAAGTTTTCTTGCCTTGAATTAAGTTTAAAAAAGCTATTGACCAACACGGTCAACTTATTAGCTTGAAATTAGACCAAAAATCCAAAATGTCAATCCGGTTTTTCTCGACACTGAGGACGGGAAAATTTTTCAATTTTTAATGTCGTTCGAATCTCGACTAAAAGGGCTTTATTATGATATATCACTCGATCCATTCCGATGACTTTTTGTGGTACCAGATTTTGCATGGAAAAAAAACTAAAATACACCCGAATACAAAGTTCCTCCCTATTTTCAATGGTCGGAAAAAAAAACATTTTTTTTTGCAAATTGTGATATTTTTGGCTCGATTGGTTATAAGCCGATCAAAACAAAAGCCTTGAAAATAAATACATCGACAACACAAACACGCAGAATTTGACAAAACACAACGCGCAGATTTGACAACAATTTTCATCAAAAAAATATGTTGAAAACTTAACAATTTTGAAAATTTTAAATATATTATAGATTTTGCTTGTTTCTCTTCGGATTTTACTAATTGTCAAGAAGGCTCCAAAAAAGCTCCAAAATTATTATTTCTATTATTAAAACTGAGTGCCTTATTATTCCAAGAACATACTGTAGAGCATGGAAAAATGGTTTAAAATTTTTGATCGATTTCGCGCAAATGAAGCGAGCAAGCAGGCCTTGCTCGCTTCATTAGCTCGAAATGCGGTCAAAAATCAAAAGTTTAAAACCATTTTTCTATACGCTACATAATATTCTTGGAAGCTTTTAATAAGGTTAAAATCACGACTGCCAAAGCTTTACAATGACGACTGCGTGCGTTTTAATATATCACTAAAATATTTGTGAATATACCTTTGGAATGGAAAACAAAAAATCTAAAATCTAAACACCTGAATACTAAGCTTCCTTCCCCACTTACAGTGGTCGGAACGAAAACATCAATTGAAATATCTGTTGTTGTCAGAGAACGGTGTTTTCTTATTAATTGGAGAAACGCAAACGCATAGCCAAGACTATCGAACAAAGGAACAAAGTTACTATCTTTTGGAATTTCCATAACCTAGGCCTTGAAATTTACACGTACTCACCATGCACTTTGGCCGTTTCCCAAACTCATAGAGCTGATAGATATATTGATTCATAGCCATCGTTTTTGCGCTTATGAGTTATGTGAAAAACAAATGCAACATGAGTTTAAATTCTAAGAAATGACATGCTTGACTGTTTCGAATTTTTGATAAAATCTATATTTTTGAAATTATAAGCTTCAGGTCGTTTTTCTCTTTTCCTGCAAATGTCCCTTGCGGAACAAACAAAAGTTGTCCTTCTTGATGAAAGATTAAATTATTGGATCGTGATCTCTCGGTCAGAGTATGACCGCTAATCACATAGGGAGATAAGACCACACTTCAATTTCATTCAACCAATCGCAGATGAGATTGGAACATTTATTCTTTAATCGTAAAAGCTAAGAATTATTGGAATCGGATTTCAATTTTATTTAATGGTGAAAAATTTTTGCTAACAGTATTCGTCGATTCCAGGCAATTTTTTAACAACTTGAAGTTAAGCTTCTGAAGCTTAAAAATCTTTACCTACAACCCCGTTTTCAACGGTAAGCGACCACTAAATTGTTTTTAACCGACCACTAAATTGTCAAAAAATTTTGTTTTATTTTTCGAAGAAAGTAACGGAATGTTAACGCGTTGGTTGATTTTAAGACAGATTTGCGGTAGAAATAAAAATTTTCACTATTTTTTTAAATAATCCAAAGTAAAATTTTTGGTTAAATCATGGGGTTTTGAGAACTGCTTATTTGTCATTTTTGCACAAATTGTTTAACGAAGTCAATTATTCCGCTCTCATAATTAGTCAAAACTGAATTGAGGCAGGCTAGTTGGTCCTATTTCAACTTACAGTTTTTATAGAAAACTACTAAACACTGTTTGAGAAGATTCAGGGCTCTGCCCGGATGCAAGCATTCTTGTTTAATGATAACAAAGATCAAATCTTTTTGCTTTGGCGTTAAATTTATAGTTCACTCACAATTTCATTCTGTTTCAGGTAAACTGGTATGGGATGGAAGGAACTAAATGGAAAACAAATAGAGAACCTTCTTCATCGATGCCAAGATCAAGCTGCAGATCTCAGCTTATTGAAATCAGTAGAACCGTATTGCGTAAACCTCGAAGATGACATGGACACTTCGCCAGTTTTTGTCTGTGAGCTGCAACGAGACTCCGCGGTCCTAGATATGCTGGCACTCTGTAAAATATTTCAACTCTCAGTTCAAGTCTTCAGTCAGTCTGTGGGTATATTCGATCGATTTTTATCAGTTATCAAGGTTAGACCGAAGTTCTTAAATTGCATTAGCCTCAGTTGCATTTATCTCGCGCTGCAGGTAGATCAATCTAATTCAGCTGGCGCAGATTTTAGACCACCAGGTGCTTCCGATGTTAATCGATTCATTTCTGCCAGTGAGAGTAGGTGCACATATTCCGACGTTGTCAGAATGTCAGGTGTCATAGCGAAGAAATTGTGCCTGGATCTGAATACCGACTACCCAACGCTATATTACGCTTTTCTTCAACTTGGAGAAATGCTAAATATAGGAAACATTGGTGCAATCATAGATTTTTATGCTACTTGTCTTTGTTCTCACGATTTGGTTGTCTTAACGCCCGATAAGATGTTCATAGCCATTATTGGATTGTTTTTGAAATCGGATCATCTGATCAAAGTCAAACATGAACTGAAAATAGAGAACGACACTGATTTGGATTGCGCCACAGCAAAAGTTCAATTAGCTTACGACGACTATATTAGGTCCGGTAGACCACAAAAAACGGGGCGCTTCGGTGTTTTGAAGAGGTACATTTTCAAAATCAGTCAGAGAACTGGTCAAGCTTTGATGGCGTCAAAGTCCCGAATTTTAGCACTTGCCTCTGCAAATAATTTAACTCCAATACAAGAGGAACCAATCACCTCAGTAGAAGTTGATGCGTCACTGGCCGAGGCAAAAGAACCAAATTGCGGAGACGTTAATGGTGCTAAGGAGAACCAATTAGTGGATTGCGATGAAAATGAGCCCCCATTGAAGAAGAAACGTAAAACGCAAAAATACTCGAAAGTTCCCCTGTGGTTCGTATTTTCAAATTCGGCAACTGCTAGGGCCTCGAAACCCTACTATCAGCATCTCGTTTCTTCTTGGAGTCCCTGGAGCTCTGCGCCGGACCACGAACTGGATTCTGTTAAAAGTCATGACAAGCGACAACTTCTATCTGTTTTTCTTATCAACTAATTCCAAAATTACTCTAAGTACCTACCTACCTTCACCTGAAAGCGCTCTCGGCCTAGTCTTGTTGATTCCACTGCTTTATCCATGATGTCTCGATGGAACGTTCAACAGTCTCAAAAGGGATAGACGAATGTGAAACGACACTAGACAAAGCATTGATGTACAACTTGACTTTGACCTGGCGCACCAAAAAAAAACAATTTTAGTTTTAATTTATTTCATTTCATGTAGATTTAGCGTTTTAGTGCACATCTCAGAGTGAAACCCAAAGAGAGTGCCCAATTTTAATCCAATATTTTTAAGTTTGTCTGGGCTCTGCTGTTTTATTCATACTGTTACTTGCAGAGCAAGATTCATTAAAACAATGACCGGACTTGATTGATAGTTTTTGTTTGTTGTAACAATTTTGTTACCTGCCCAGCTCTCTATGGAATATAACAACTGCTACTCAAATTCAGCTGTCATTGGGGCTTTTTCAGTTTTTATTGTTTCAGCGCAATTTAAGACATTAACAGCCGGTACTTCATTATGAGTTGAGCAAATACATGAGAGGCAGTTGTTGAATTTCCTTCAAATATTAGTGTTAAGTGTTGCATTTCCAAATCAACGTGTGAAGTTAGTGTTTGAAAGGTTTGTGGATAATGTTTTAAGTTGGCGAGAGTTGCAAGCAGTATGCAGCCTAATTTGAATTTGCAATCTAGAAGACGGTGGTTTTGTGCTATCCAACCAATCCAACAGTCTCGAAGTCAGAGCAGAGATCGAATTATAGATATACTTGTCCTGTGTTTAGTTTGAATAGCAGAATTTAAATTTATGTTTATATTGAATGGACCCACTCATAGACTCTAACCTATCTCTAATGCAATTCCCGTCAGAGCAATTTATTGAAATTGAGAATTTGAACTTCTCGCCAGTCGCATCGACGATGTAGCGTTCTAATGAATAGAGATTTTTTGAATACCTATACGTGCATATATCATCTAGCGAAATGTTAATGTTATTACGTAATACTGTAATTTTAGCTGTAGTTTAAAGGACCTTTCTTCAGGCAAAAACAACAACAAAAACCCTAAATATACCGTGGTGCTATTAACTTCTTTCTTTTTTTCGTCTTCTACTCAATTCAATACTTTCAATGAAAAGCCTGTGTGCAAAAACTGTGCTGCAATTCCAAAAATTGAAATTAATTTTTCAATTTTTCCAATTCTTTTTTAAAACTAAATGAGGTTTAAGCAATGCCAGGTGGTCAACTCAAGAAGAGTTTAATTATAGCTATTATTTGAAGGCGGTCTCAAACCAATAGAGTTAACTGTGAGAGAACTACGAGCTACAGAATGACGAAACGCTCAAAATTAGTTAGTGGTCCAGAACAAAAGCACCAACTCGCATAAAAATGTGCTTCTGGCTTAAATATGAGCAGCGCACCATTCAAACCTCTTGTAACATGATCGGTCATGGTTTGGTCGGCATGGTGTTTTCATTAAGCTTAAAAGGAAGAACCATAAAATTTCATCATGGTAGGTTATTTTTGTGCATGACGTCAGATAAATGTAACGTGCCAAACCTGGCGACACTGTATTGGTATTGGACTGTAACTCTTTAACCCTGCGACCATTCAATTTTCTGGCAGCTTAATTGAAATTTTGGTTACTTTTAACTTCTTGACAAACGGTTTATTTATAAATTGTACCAAGACAGAATTTCTATTGTAAAAACTAGAAGACTGATTGAATGAGCTTTTGGGGATGTATCTATAAAAAAGAGGCAGAGAAAATGAAATCATAGATGTTAAAGACAACGCCATTTAGGAAGATGAGTTTTATGCTTCTGTTATGGCAGAATAAGATCGAAGCTAAGGAAAAGGTCACTATGTTTTTTTAGTCTCTTTTCACACGTTCTATCTTAATTCAAAGATTGAGATTAAGCCCCTCGAATTCCCACATCTAACTCCCTCCAATTTTCCTAAGGGCATTTTTGGGTCGTAACGCAGAATGCATGTACGCTTATCAGCTCAGTACAATTGAAGAGAAATATGGCTTAGCTTTACAGTGACTTGATTAGAATTGAAATCAATGCAACCACCGTGTTTGGTTTGCTCACTCGCTAAGTAATGGTAGCTAGCTGGGAATCATGACGGCACGTGCGGGAATGAAAAGAAAGAAGGGAAATCCGTATAAACAGTACCAAATTTAGACTATACAATACCACTGAAAAACAAGTAACAAAAGCAAAGCAAGAGCTGAAATAAACCGAGCTTTTCAAAAGTGTATTACCATTGAGTTGTGGAGGCTTTAACATTAACTAAATGTAATTTGGAATATCAGCTCCGAACGACTTCTAAGGTTTCGTTTTTGCTCATGAAAAATATTTAGACACAGTTTCATCTAAAACGAATGATATCTTTCTTTTGGTTCGTTAATACATGTGAAGCGTAGTTTGGGTTGGAAAAAAATAAAATTCAAAATACTTATTTCACCCGTTTTTACTACGTAACAATACAGGTATTTTAGTAGTTAAAATGGGTACATGTAGTTGGGTCCCAGGAAAAGGAAGTATGAAAGATGGGTGACAAGAAAACAAATGCGAACCATGTTACTAAAAATTTTCAAAGCCTAAAACAGTTTCTCCATTCAAAGTCAAGGGACCTAAATATGATAATTGTACCCTAAAATGTAATCTATTTACGCGCCGCTTGAGCGGAGTGATTTGAGTTTAAATGAATACAGATTTTTTTCCTCTTGAGTCGGAGTTATTTTATCCAGACCTTCGATTAAGGCAGTAAATTGTTCTAGGTGGTCGTTCCAAGATGCAAGAACGAAAAATCAAATAAAACCTAACGATGCAGTGAAATCAAAGAAACTTCATCAAGACTGCAATAAAGATACATAGAACAACACAACTACGTTACCAAGTTCTGAAAACAGTTTCTTTTTTGTTTTTGGCTTAGCTAAAAACGCAGACGAATGAGCTCATGTGCCGATGTATCGATTTAAGTTTGCGTAGGTCTACATTGAAAATTCAATAGTGCTTTTTCAAAAGCTGATTTAAATTGTTTGCATTTTTGAAGAGGTGTGCTCAGACTAAAAATCTGTCGACAGATTGCAAAACAAAAATGCTAAAAACTGATTTTCCAAAAATAGATTTTTGCGTCATTTTCGTCTTTTAGCTGGCGAAACTTTGAAGCTAACTGCAGAATATGCGTGCTTCAAATACAAAATTTTCTCAGATATTGCATCAGACTTGCGTCGTCGGTTTTTGAAATTCGCTAGTCGTCTGGCGTCATTTTTTTCAAGTTGAGTTACCACAGAAATTGGACAAGTAATTAACAATTTTCATGCTTGTAAGATTTCATGTGGCCACCTAAGGGCAATGAGTTTTCTCTCTGCTTGATTGCGGATGAGAAACTGCAGGTAAATTTGGGGCGTGGTGAGAATTTGTCTAGACCACCAAATTGATTAGCTACCATCTGAACAAATTTATCAATTTTTCGCTTCTAGTGCGATGGCAAACTGCTTCCGGGCTTCCTCCATTGAAATTTGAAAGAAAAATAAGAGTGATTTTCTGATATGAAAAAAGTAAGTTAATTGGGTGGGAAATTTGCATCAGCCAGTTTGGAATTATTGCTGTAACGTTTGTTTTGTAGTTGTGATAGCCACCCAGCTCTCTATTCCTAGGATGACGAGCAGTTCTCGTTAACTTGACGGTTTTTAAATGGGAGATATGGTACCTGACAATTAGGATAAAACTTTTGCCCAGGGGCGGATCTAGGATTTTCTCGAGGGGGGTGGTTTTTCAAATTTTGGCGACCTTTTTTTTAGGTCGACTAAATTGATTTTTCGAGGTCTCCCAAAGCACTGTTTTGCCCCAATTTTGGCAAATTTTTCAGCGCCGCAGGCAAATTTTTGAAAAAAACAGTCAAAAAAGCCGTTTTTGGGCACTTTTTGAAAAATTTTGACAAAAAAATCGCGTTTTTTTTTGGCGCGCGCACCCCTCAAAGTTAGTATATATTGGCGCCCAAGGCGCCGTTAGAAAAATTTTAAGGACGGTCGGCCAAAAATGGATTTCTGAAAAAGTATCAAAGGGGGGACCCTTTGGGTCGGCAGGGGGTCGAATCCCTGAGGGGAGGGGAGGGGGCGTCCGCCCCCCCCCCCTAAATCCGCCCCTGCTTTTGCCTGAAAGAACTAGCAATTAAGCATGTAAAGTGATGTACAAAAAAATGAGCCAGAAAAAAATACGAGCCTGAAAAAAATTTGAGCCAGAAAAATTCAGTTTCTTGCCAGCCTTTCTGTGAATCATTATTTGTTCAAAAATTTGACGCCTCATTTTAGACCTGGGTTTTAGATAACTCAAAAAACGCAACACATGACTTCTTATTTCAATGGTTTGTTTATATGACTGTCTCCTGCCCTGAGTAATCATTAATCAATCATGTGTGTCCCGTGGTTTCAATTGAGCCGAATTGTATTCTGATACAAATTAGATGTCCCGTCTAATCAGCTAGTAATCCACAGGCAACTACTTTACCTTTGTGATTATTGTTATGTTACGTATGTTATTACTGTATGAGTAAACAGCAGCACCCTTGACTAATTCTGTATTTGACCCCCTCCCTTCCCTCTTCCGTTTTTCCGTAAAATTCTTATTGAAAGTACCTAATTGAGATAATTTAATCTGCAAGCCATCGTCGCGTGCCGGAGTTACGCCGTAATTATACTGCGCTTTACTGGACAGCATTGTTGTTTTTACCCGAGAGTTAAATGACAAAGAGTTAATAAATTGACCTAATTCAAAAGGAGCTTTTGTCTTAAAAGTAACCCTTAAATTATCTTTTGTTGGACAACAAAAAGATTGCAGGGAGAATAAAAGTTAATCCGGGAAAAATTAACAAATATGCGTTGTTTTCAAGTTTATTTATGAGCCGGTCTTGGAGTTTATTTCATTTCACCTGTCGATATAGCAATCAGAGTTCAAAATGACTCTCCCTGCTTGAATAAACAAAATGAAAAAAATACATTTAAGTTTTTGCCATGAAGTAAACGCAACAAAAGTCGCCTAGTTTCGATTGCTCCCAGGAAAATCCCAGTTAAGTTATTTATAACCTCCTCCCGTGGAAATTACGGTGATAAATAGAAGGTTGTTTCACATAAACAACCGTTTATGGTTCTAGAAATTCAAGCTCACCACCTTCGTAAATCACTGTCAGATTGATTGAATCCTCAGCCGAAAATTGACTTGCACGGAGTGAAATCAAAATGTTCCAGTTGTTCTCGTGCTTCTTATATCAGGATTTAGACTGGATTTGTGTATATGCTTTTTGCTGTTGCTACCATACAAAAATATACAATGACAAGTACAATTTCGGGTTCAGAAGTTGGGGTAAAGGTGATTACATGAATTCATGAGCCCTGGGAAATTGGAAGTATTATAACACCAGTTTTTGCACGAACTTCAGGACAAAATATATACCCCATGTATGTCTTTTACATTATGCCAGCAGTTAGCCGATAGAAGCATCAGCCGACACACCGAACGAATTGCTTGTCTCCAGTGTCACGTGGCTAGGAACCCCCCGCCATTTTTTAAGACAATTTCATTGAAAAGTCTTCTTGGAATTGCAAAACTACTATAACGAATAAACAGCAAAATATTGTAATAAAAAGTAGTTAACAAGCGCCGGAAAAAATTTTGTTGGATGGTTTAAGTTCGACAAAAAATTTCATATGCTCATATTGGATTTTTGTCTTTTCGCACAAGCCCTGATGTCAATTTATCAAAAATTTCCGCTCTTAAATTTTTCTCTACATTTTTGCTATTTTGGTGCTGCTGCATTAATCTAAAAATGGTGTTTTTGTTGTATATGAACCGGCATTGCATGTAATGCGGGCATTGAACTGCTAAAGGGTCATTTTAGATACTTGGGGAAATATATAACCCTCGGTGTTTACAATCCTAGCAAGCGGGAAACAGAAGAAAATAGTGGAATTTTCCTTCGCTGGTCTTAATTGTCTCACACAGACCAGAGACGACCGGTCTGTTAATGCATTCCGACAGGCGACAACTTGTGATCCAAACGGTTCACTTCAAACACCATCGCAGATAATGAAGACTAAAAGGGTCTGAAGACTAAGTTTGCGAAAACAACAAACTTGTTTGCGCCGATATTTGAACAGTGAAAAATAGCTCTTAAATACTGGTCTGA